TTTGAAAAATATATTTTTTGAAAAAATTATTTTTTCAATATGTTTTTAAGAAAATGATATCATTTTGCGAAAAGTTAAAAATCTCACCGTATACTTTTTTTATGGGACCATTTTATGATAAAAGTTGAAATTACGATTATATTTTGACATTACCTTTGCCATTTTGTTTATTTTTGTAATTAGCCCTTTGGGTTATTATGATAATCGTACAAAAGTTGGTCATATGTGCAATTGAATTTTTCCATGAACTTAGGACGCCAACAATAAAATATAGTGACAAGAATCATATGTCATCTCCTTAATAATTGAATTTAATAACAATCTTCAAAACTTTTAGAAAAGTTGCTATGTTGCTGTTGGTTCGAATAAAACTCCACTAGCTACCAAATAAGAAAAAGTGAAAGAAGACGAAGAAAGCAAATTCCATCACTGTTAAAAGATATAGTAGTGATATACACGGTTTTCTATGTTCAAAATACACACAAGAGTACCACGATTTTGCAGATCTTTTTCTTTTTGTTTTCAAACACACAACAAACGTCATCCAAGGTTATTCTTGTTAAAGAAAATAAGAGTAACAACAAAGATATAAACGATTTTCTATGTGCAAAATACACATAAGATGTATTTTCGCAAAGTTTGAATTTTGTAAAGATTTTTATAATAAGATATTCAAAAAGCAAATCCGTAATCCAAAAAATCCATATTACGAATTGGTGGTCGATTTATCAAAACGGTCCCAAAAAAAATTCCAAAGCAAATAAGGCATTGTTACAAGGGTCGGCCCTTTTCTTTTCTTTTCTTGATTTTTATTTCATAAAAAGTAGCTTTGTCGACTTTATTCTGAACTTATTCCTTTATCCTTGTGTTCCTTAAAGTATTTCACTACCTATTTTGAAATAATAAACATGTTTTACCAAGGTTAATATTGTTTTCTTTCTTTCTTTCTTTTTGGCTCCATTCTCTTTTACAATTTAATAATATTTTTTCAGAACCTATCAATGATTGGACAAATTTAATCTTACGATAAAAAGAAGGCTAATCATAAAAAATTACAAATACCAAAAAACGAAATATCACAAAATGTTATATTTTCAATTTTATGCCACAAAATAACTAATTACTTCATGAAAGATAAAATAACCTTTTTTGCGAAATCGTTTTTTCAGTAAAAAACTAAAAAAAAAATGGATTTTTTAAACTTTATTACGCAATTGTCATTTTAGTGACAAAATGATGTCCATTTTCCTCCAAAAAGATATATATATATATATATATATATATATATATATATATATATATATATATATACACGAAAAATGCAGCAGGGATTACTTGAAAAGGCACTAAACTTAAGTTTCCTAATTCTTTGATAGAGAAAGGTGACTAAACTGAAAAAGACAAAACATGTAAATAGAAACTAAATGAATACAACAAAAACCTTAAACTTACTAACAAAAACGACTTAATTTCTAGCATAAAGCAAAGTCGCAAATAAGTGGTAAACAAAAGTTGAGAACTAAGTATTCTAAACTCTAATCAAAGCAAGAAGCAAAATCAATCCCAATTACAGAAGTTCCAAAGCATAAAAGATGGAAAATATGTAAATGGGTATCTTTAAAAAGTTATAAAATTTAATTCATGGAAGATGGTTTTTGTTAATTACCTGTTGCCCTTAATCTTGAACCAAGTTTCAGCACACTGTTTATGAGCAGCTGCTAAATCGTCTTTACAAGAACAACCCAACTCAATCGGAATCCCATTTCCCGATTCTTGATTGTTTACATCCAAACTCAAATGACAAATCCTACAATCCTTTTCAATCTTCAATAAATGTACCTTATTTCCGCCTCCGCCTCCGCCACCAGTTTCCAGATCCACCGCCGAGGACTCTGAAACAGAGGATGACATCCCAGTTTCCACCACCTCCTCCGGCACCATCCCTGTGATCCCAATACTAGTTCTGTAACTCTCTTCACTCCCATCAGATGATCCAGACTGCCGGCGGGTGTCATCTCCGCCTCCATCGCCGCCACCGGATTCTAAATCGAGTTGGGGTTGTTGTAAAGTTGCCATTTTTAATTATACAGAGAAGAAAAATCGATTTTTTTTTTTTTTTTCATGAATACCCTCTCAGCCAAAAGTTGACGGAGATCTTCATCTCTCTAAATCTTTCCCTGTTTCTTCTTTTCCACTACTTATGTGCCAATTGGGGTGAAGAGTAAAAGGGTTTTGCCTTTCTGTCGTGTTACATCACTTCATCACCATGGTCGGGACTCGGGAGGAGAGAGAGCTTCAAAAGACTCAACATCTGAAAATTGTAGTGGCATAAAAAGCAGAGGAATTGGAGATGATGACGGAAAGAAATATTATAGAAAAAATTGCAATTACACCCCCTCAAAATTTCAACTTTATTGTTATAGGACCTTAAACTTTGAGAACTGGCTCCAACAACCTCAATATCATATTACTCGATTAATACACACTAGGTTGTTCTTATGGTAATATGTTATTAGAAAATGATAAAGATAGTAATTTGTTATAAATAAATTAAAAAAAAAAAAAAAAAAAAAAAAAATCCATCTGCTTACGCCCTCAACATTATGGGACGGTGTTTGTCGTTCAATCTCCCACTAAATTCCATGATCACAATTATAAACTAATAAAAAGAGAATTTATGTTGTTTAGATGAATAAGTTATTTAATAGGTTACTTTAATTTGGCGGTGACTTCTTGTCAATAAAACATGTTTTAGTCTCTCTCTCAAATGTTCAACATATTAATACATAGAGTACAAATATAATAATGTAATGTGATGTAGAATAGTGACAATTTCGTAGGTTGGTGTGTGGTGAGGAAATTGTAGTGATGTAATAATATTTTTGGAGTTGTCAAAGTGTTAGGCACTCCTGATAACCTTAGAATTTCAGAAATAATTATTAGGATTTGGTACAATTTACATGTTTAAATTATTTTTAACTTCCTTTTCATCCAAACGTTTTATCTGGTATTATTATCTTACAGTTATTGGTCCTTATTATCAGTATATTTTAACATTTTAAGCTTCTTTTATGTTATTTGTGTTATTTTTAAACGAAATGAATTATTGTTGTATTAACTAGACGGACTCGCACCTTCTTCCTCAAGTCCTCTCTCTTTTCAAGCTCCCATATTTAGTTCTCTTCATTGAAGAAACGTCATGGTTGTTCCTGTTGGAAGCCTTCTATGGAAAACCATAAACCGCCACCACCACCATCGATGCAGCATACGATAGGAGAAACCATAAATTAGAAACATGATTCCAATCAATCATTTCAATTAAAAAAAATCCAATTACCAAAAAATGTAAACACGATATCAACCATGTTGGATTGACAGGTCAACAAATAAACGAGGGTTATAAAAATAAAATCAAGTCACTCGTATATATACCAAAATATAACAAAAAGAAAGAATCAAAAGATGGACATAGACCAAATGTAACATACTTTTCTGTGTAATGTATATGTTCTTGATATTTGTGAATAAACAATAAAAGCAAAGTATGGAGGATTTTTTTTAAGGGAAATTGACTTATTAAGGTAGCTAAGTATTTCCAATGTTCACATATGTGTAATATTGTTTTTTTTTGTACTCATTTACCCAACTAACTTGTTTTAGCCACTCACAAATAACAAACTTTACCGATTATCGTAGGTTTTGGGTGATGTGGCATCTACGTTGCTTCTGCGTTGCAATACTCATCACCTACATGGCATTGAGAAGTGTTTACATTATAAGAAGGGTGAGATACGAATGGTTATTAATTAAAACCCTAGATCGATCGATGACATCTTCTTCCTCATCTTTTTCTTCTAAACAACAAGACGAATTACAACCAGATCATCCATGTGATTGCAACTTGCCATCTCGTGTGAAGACATCAAGAACCCTAGACAATTCTGGAAGGAAATTCAGAGTTTGTCAAAACTCACTGGTTAATCATTTTTTTACTTCTTCATCATTCAATTTAAAATGTTTTTATAAATTTCTTGAAGAATGGAAAAAGTCCAAACTGTAAATTTTGGCAATGGTTGGATGATGATGAAAAGAGGAAAGATGGAAGAAGGCATTACAGGATGACACCAGAAGAAAGTTGCAATCTTACCTTGTAAATAATCAGCATATGCAAGATGAAGATTAAACAAGAGAAGAACAACAATAAACAAGAACTTGACAAAGTCAATTGGAAATTGTTTACTCATAGACTTGCATTGATTTTCTTGTTTCTCATGTATGTCAAAATGTTGTTTTAAATTATGTAGTTTATTATGATGTAGTATGACTAAATTATGTATGCTTTTGTGATGTTTTGAATGAAAAAAGGTTACATTGGATCATTAGAATGGAATTGTACATTGTAATGGAATTGTTATTAAACTTGGTATTATAAAAGAATTGTGAAACATTGTAATAGAATCATTGGAATGGAAGTGTACAAACATTATAATGTTATTGTGAATCATTGGAATTGAATCATTGGAATGGAAGTGTACAAACATTGTAATGTTATTGTGAATCATTGGAATGGAATTGTTCAAACAATGTAATGGAATTGTGAAACATTGTAATAGAATTGTGAACATTGTAATGGAAATGTGATTACACTGTAATGGAATTGTGATTACACTTGGTATTCTAAAAGATGGTAATAAGTTATAAACAATACAAATGGTAATGCATTGTAAACATTTCAGTGAACATTGATTTCAAAAGATGTGTCAAAAGTTTTACATAACATAGTTAAACATTCATTAAACCCAAAAGATGTGCAAAAAAGTAAAACACTACACACTTAAAAATGCATTTAAGCTATTCCAACTAGTTTTCAAAAGATGTTCCAAAAGATTCCAAAGTTAAAACATGTTAGTCAAAGATGCCAAAACATTAATAACAGTCCAAGAAGCCAAAAGCTGATCCAACTCATACGGATTGTCATCACTGCTTCCTTGTTTTTCCTTTCACTTCTTCCTTATCTTAAGTTTTGTAATTATTTCTGAAGGTTTCCTTGCCCTCTGTTCCACTACAACTTGAAAAGATGGTATTTCCACTTGATATTGAAATATAATTTGGTTAGCATCTTCAACTTGAACTTGCACTTCAGGTTGAACTTTAGCTTGAACTTCAGGGTGAAATTCAAGTTGAACTTCAGGTTGCACTTCATCTTGCACTTCATCTTGAACTTCAAGTTGCACTTCATCTTGAACTTTAGGTTGCACTTCAGGCTGCACATCATCTTCAAATTCAACATCAAAAGAGTCCACTTCACTTTCAGGTTCTTTTTCAACTTCACTCTCATTGTCTATACCAACTTCATGTGCCAATGCAACCTTCACTTTACCTATTTTGCATTACTTGAAAGGTTAAGTTATGCCAAATATGTTAAGTTATACAATATATATATATATATATATATATATATATATATATATATCAAACATACCAACTTTCTTGGGTTTCATTTTGTAACAGCCCGGATCCCCAGGTATCTTTACTTTCATATTTTTGATATTCTGTGAGGGGACTCGGCGAGTTGGAGGTCGAACTCGCCGAGTCGGGTCGCGGTTTTGGGCGGAGGTTCGCGTTCGGACTCGGCGAGTCCGTGCTGTTTAATGAAACCCTAATTTCCCGGTCCTAAGCCCTATTTAAAGGACCTTATGGCCTTCATTTGCGGCCACCTTGAACCCTAAGAGCACCCATACGACTGTGAGCCCTTGTGAGTGTGTTAGGAGGCCATTTGTTCATCATTTTGTGTATTATTGCAAGAAAGGAGGGAGCAGATCAAGCTTGAAGAGTTGGGGAGCTTGGATCTGCTTCTATTTCATCAAGGGAACCTTCTTGAGGTAACTTTCAGAGCCAAACTTCGTATTTTGGGTTGATGTGTCAAATCTAGGGTTTCTTCTTGCATTTCTTGGCTTAAATTGGAAGTATGAAAGGTCCCATGGAGATATGGAACCTAGATCTGGACCTTAGCAGGTCCAGGAGGCCCCATATGACAAGCTTTATGTCCATTCTCTTGAGTTAGAAGCTAGGGTTGCCATATTAGAGGTTATTTCTCCAAAATGAGCCTTGTATGCGTTGCATGGCGACCAAGACTGAGACTTTACGTGACAAATAGCTTGGGAAGGCCAGATCTATGTATGTATGGAACGGATCTGACCGCAAAAGCCAGTTTTAGCTGGTGCATGGCATGGACTCGCCGAGTCTGAAGAACAGACTCGACGAGTCGCTTGAAGATTGTCCTTGAGACCACCCAGTGTGTAGTCCTGACCGAGTTGGGGTGACTCAGTGAGTCGCAGAGAGTTGGAAAGGTTTGACAGGTGGACCGAGTCAAGTTGGGACTCGCCGAGTTGTCCTTGCGACTCGGCGAGTTGAGTCGCGGTGGCCCCGTGATTCAGGCCCAGGTGGAACTCGTCGAGTCGGGGGAGTACTCGACGAGTCAAAGGGAAAATCCTTGAGAGTTGGTTAAAACGCGTAGACTCGCCGAGTCACTATAGTGCACTCGCCGAGTCCGGTCCAAATTGACCAAAGACTGTTGACCAAGTCAACCTGTGTTGACTTGATATGGATGGTCAACCTTAGTGGTACAAGTAATAATTATAGATTCATGATATCATAGGAGGATTACAGCTCGAGGGTTCGAGCACGAGTGATTCCAGGATTCACGATTAGCGACTTAGCGAGGCATACGAGGTGAGTCTTCTCACTATACTGTACCCGGAAGGGTTTTGACTGTGTGATCGGAAGGTCGAATATGATATGAGATATATGCTTTATGTGTGTTAAGTTATTCGTTATATGTGCCATGTATGATATGTTGATTTGGGCCGGAAGGCACCATGTTATGGTCCGGAAGGCGTGGTCATATGGACTATAAGGTTGACGTGGGTAGGACCGGAAGGTTTACCCAGTCGGGACGGAAGTCCCCTGAGACACATGGACCGGAAGGTCAAGGCCTGGAAAGGCGTATGTGCGTAGGTTGTATTTTGGGGAACTCACTAAGCATTTATGCTTACAGTTGTTGTGTTATGTGTTTCAGGTACTAGCGAGGACCGTGGGAAGGCGCCGGCGTGATCGTACACACACTCGGAGAAACCATTTTGTGATCTTTTATGTAATCGGTTGTGACTAAATTCTTATATTGGAACCTAAACTTATTACTCATGTTTTGATGATTGTAAAAATGAAAAATTTTTGGTTTGGAATTTTATGATGTTACACATTTTCTTTGAACTTGCATTTGATGATTCCTCAATTGGTTTTTGAGGGCAGGTTGTTCTATTATGCCCACTTTCCCTACATATGCTGTATTTCTTCACACTACCTCTTTTTGTGTCTGAATGCTTTTTTTCCTTGGTTTTCTCTCTCAATCTGATCCATTTTTCCTTTTGTTGATGGTCTTCCTGGTAGCCTTCTCCTTTTGGGGGGAAATGGCTTGATGTAGTCTACATGAGGCCACATATCAACACCATTAAGTGGGTTAATGGTATACCTATAATAGTTTAAGAACATTGTTGTGGTAAACCATGGTGATACATACCCCTCTACATCCCCTATTGAGGTTTGCAATGCAAGCATACCCATGCACACAAGGGTAACTTGTTAACTGCCAAGTTCTATAGGCATATGTCATGCTACCAATATCCACAACATATGCATCATACCCAAGTTTGACTTCATACTGTTGATAACCAGATGGTATAACTTTCCAAAATCTATCCACATACACATGTTAAAAGACAAATATATATAAGGACAAACATTTTTAAGCACTTACCTTTGAAGATCCCTAAGCTTGGACAAGTTTAATCTAATGGAAGGACATATGGTTAAATCCCAAGATTTCCCCTTAATCTTCTGTCTATAAATCCTCTCCATCACATAAATTTGAATTTCTTCTAACATGATGATTAGTGGTCTCTTCCTGGCAGTTTCAATCACTAAGTTGAAACTCTCAGATATACCATTTTCGTATGCATCACAAGCCCTATCAGTCTGAAAAAATGCTTTACTCCAAGTTTTAGGGCCCTTTTCCATCAAATGATCATAAGCTAGTGGTTCTACTTTCTTGATTTCATTCATATGTTGCTTAAATTTTGCAGGGGTAGTAGATGCAGCAGCATACTACAAAAGCTTTCTAAATTGTTGGTCCTTAAACCTTTTCATGAAGTTAGCACATATGTGCCTAGCACATTGCCTATGCTCCGCTGCTGGAACCCTTTCCTTCACAGCCTCAAGTAATCCCTGTTAGGAATAGACACAACACATAAACAACATAAACAAAACATAAGCTCAAATAAAGATGGAAAGAATATAAATTGATTACTTTGTGTTGGTATGATATCAAGGTTAGTCCATGACTAGCTCCCATTCCAAGGTCCTCAATTAGAAGGTCAATAATCCACTTCCATGTTTCCTTACTTTCCACTGATACAACAACCCAAGCAATAGGATATATATGGTTATTTGCATCTCTACCTATAGTAGAAAGCAACTGACTTCTACATATTCCATTTAGGAAGCAACCATCTAGTCCAATTATCCTCCTACAACCTTCAATCCATCCATCCTTCAATCCCTTGAAACATACATAAAACTTTGAGAAATAAGTGGTTCCATCAGGCATGCCATCTACATCCATCTTCACTGTTGATCCTGGGTTAGTGTAACATCCCAAAATACAGGCCAAAAAGTTTCATTTGAATTAAGTTAGTAAATAAAACCAACAGTATAAAAACATTCATAATAATATCTCATGTCAAAACCAAAGTATCAATAATCAAAACATAGTAGATTCACCTCGCAATTTTGGCAGTCCCTACAGAAATCTCTAGGAACTAGGCTAGATATGAGTACGACCTACCATCCACAAACCGACGGGCAGAGCGAGCGCACCATACAAACATTAGAAGATATGTTGAGAGCCTGTGTGATAGAATTTGGTAAGGAATGGGATACCCATTTACCGCTTATCAAATTATCCTATGATAACAGCTATCACACTAGTATTAAAGTCGCTCCATTCGAAGCTTTCTACGGTCGCAAATGCAGATCACCCCTGTGTTGGGCCGAAGTGGGGGATACTCAGCTAGCTGGGGGGGCAAGTCCCTGATAGCACCCTTACTGGGCCTGAAATCATAAGGGAGACCACTGAAAATATTGTTCAAATTTGGGAAAGACTGAAGACGTCTCGTGATCGACAAAAGAGTTACGCAGACAAGCGATGCAAACCCTTGGAATTTCATATTGGAGATCGGGTACTAATGAAAGTTTCCCCTTGGAAAGGAATGATATGTTTCGGTAAACGTGGGAAACTAAACCCGAGGTACATCGGACCATTTGAAATCCTTGCCAGGATTGGTCCCGTGGCGTAATAACTCCGATTACCACAAGAGCTTAATAACGTACACCCTACCTTCCACGTATCAAACTTGAAAAATTGCCTATCAAATGAGACTCTAGTGATACCACTCGACGAAATCGAAGTTAGCGAAAATCTCTACTTCGTGGAGGAACCAGTCGAGATCATGGATCGGGAGATCAAAAGAACGAAACAAAGTCGCATTCCCATTGTGAAGGTTCGTTGGAATGCAAAACGAGGACCTGAGTTCACCTGGGAACGCGAAGATCAAATGAAACAAAAATACCTGCATCTCTTCCCAAACACTTGATGTCCCAGCCAAAACGTAAATTTCGGGACGAAATTCCCTCTAACGGGGGTATGATGTGACAATAGTCAACTTCGGGTCAAGTCAAAGTCAAACAAAGTCAACAAGTAAAACCAGACGACTCATTTAGCCCTTGTATATTAGGGTTTGCAATTGTATATTTACTAAATAAAACGCTATTTTATTGAGAAAACATCAATTGGAAAATCCGTACGTTTGAATTTCGATAGCCGTGATAATGCTAAACATTGAACCAAAGGGGTAAAACACTATTACACACTCATCGGGAGTGTGTAGGACACTAAAACATGGCTTAATGGGGTTTACGGACCTTGCATTGTGAAGCTAAACACTCAAAAATGTCACAAACAAAACCTCTCTCAATCGTATTTACTCTATCTCTCTCTATGTTAAATCTCTCCCAAATCTCTCTCTCAAAAGTTCTCATAACTTTTTATAGTCTTTCGGGCCATCCTGACCCTTAACTGGGTCAAAAACCGCATAAAACGGGGTAAAAATGGGTAAAATAGCCTTAAAGAACCGAAACCCTCCTTTAAGTGCCGAAGCCTCTCGGACCGAAACTAGGAAGAGCCGAAACCTCCTGAGACCAAAACCGAGACCCCGGAAGCCGAAAGCCGAAAGCCGAACCAGCCAAGGACCGAGACTGAGCCTCGCCTTCGGCTACTTTCCTTCCCTTCGCACCTTTGGTCCTCCTTCCCCTTCTCTCGGTTTCTCTTACAAGACCGAACCCCACTCTCGGTTCCCCATCTACTTTTGGTTCTAAGGGCCGAGATCGAACCTTCGGCCAGGAACTTCGGATTTTGAAAATTTTCACCCGATTTTCAATATTTTTAGTTTAAGCTCGTTTTTCATCATTTTAACGCGAGATTTTCACCTAAAACTTTATTTTAAAAAAATGAAGACACAAAATACATAATTAAGCACGTTTTTAATGCCAATCTTATCCAAGATTTAGTGGGTGAAGTACAAGGGGGTGGAGTGTTGACTTATCTTTAGCTTATGACACAAGCAACCCCTCACACCCACTCCATGACCGGCCATACTTCTTCCACCATACCCAGGTCTTGTTAATGTACTTTTTCAATCATTTCCAACCTTTTCCACATTATTAGAGCTGGAACAGCATTCCACACTCCTCACTTCACTCATTTCTCTTATTTTGCCAAAAAATCAAACACAACTTTCTCTCACGTTCTCTCTCTAAAAATTCGAGATTTAAGGCTGATCATCAAGCATTCTTGAACTCTTGGTAAGTATGATTCATCTTCTTTGTGATGATTACACTTCATTTTACTCAAATAATTGATTTCTTACACAAACTCCATCAATTTTGTGTTAGATTCTTGAATCTTCAAAGTAATCCTCCAAGTGTTCTTGAGTTGAACACTTCTCGTCTCCAACATTCATCTACTGAAATCATTCTATATGATTTCATACCCCTATACTTTCATATTTTCTTAATTTTTAAGGGGGAATACAAGTTAAATCACCAAGAACACAACTAAATGTTTATAACAGCTTTCATCAGAAAAGTTGGACTCCATTCACGAACTGTTTTGGCCGACTTAAACATTTTTTTTACAAAACTATATTAGATGCATATAGTTCAGGTTTATACCTTTAAAATGACTACTTTCACATCTCCATGTGATTTTTCTACAATTTATGGTGATTTTTACCAAACTGCCTATCATTCCAAGAATCAATCCGGACCAGTCTGGGTTTATGGACGCTGTCACCTAAGTTGGAGGTCACTAAAAATCATGGAAAAATTTATGAACAAACTAGACTCATTTTACAAACTCTCAGAATTTATGGATTCTGATTTGGATCTATTATGAAGTTTTTATAAATTTTCTAATAACAGTGATAGAAACTGTTAATAACAAAAAAAATGCTAACAATTTCATTTCACCTTGTAACATGTCGAGCAAGGTGTTTATCTTTATGTGAGTATATGTTATTGAAAACAAATGACATTTTGTCTTAGTATATGGGCAAGCATCAGTTAATAAATGGATTTTGATATATATACACGGAATGTAAAAGATAACAAATTGTCATAATCAAAGCACATCCATTACATACAAACATTTGAATAAACTATGTTAAATATAGTTTACATACATTACCACTACTATCCTTGTTTTTGATAAACTATAATAGGTATAGTTTATGATACACTACATAATACATACATTTCAAAAGGGTACATTTATACGAAAATGGATTTTCATTACATTACACGTAAATTCGTTAATAACTTTGTGAGATATTCGCTTCACATTTACCATTAAGTCCTGTATTGAACCAGAGTCTCCTGGAGGGAGAGAGTGACAGTTGTATATAGATCTATATTGGGTTTGACAAACCCACACTTTAAATGCATGCAACAGTTAGACCGGAAGGTCTGGGGTGACAAATGTCATAAACATTTCCGACGTCTTAAGAACGTCGTATCAGGCCAACTTGGTCATAGTATGGTTATAATAAACTCACAGAAAGTATTAACAAACATAAGAATTTACGGGAATTTTATTTAATTCAAACGCGTTTATGTCGATTTAAACACATATCATTTTCTATCAGTAAGAGAGATTACTTATACATTTTGGTCTTCGGATATAAGACTACATTACACATTTTAAGGAAAATATCAAATTTTTTTGAAACAAACATGACATTTACATGAGAAACACTTTTATTAAGTTTTAAAACAAAAGCTTATGAACTCACCAAACTTTGTGTTGACACTTTTTCAAACAACTTGTATTCTCAGGAAATCACTAAACAGTTATCAAAGTGCATTTTGAGGATGGGGCGTTAAGGCGTCAACATTTCATGTTTTGTCAACATATTGTAATTGATTTGAAAACATGTAATTCATACAATGATGTAACTCTTTCAATTATATATATGTTGGTTGTGTTTGCTTAAATTACTATTGTACTTGTGGTTATGATACTATACATGAAGTCCTCTACCCCCAGATCTTTCCGCCATCCTTGGTTTGGGGGTGTGACACCCGTAGACACAATCCCAGCTGCTGAATGACAAATTTCCGAACTGTCAATATCAAAACATCACCCAATTAATAATTGGGTTCCAACATATGTCCATAAGTCCATGTTTCAGTAAAAGACTGCTTTACCCCTATCTTGGCTTGATTCAAGCCCAAGGCCCAATCCAAAGGCTCAAAAGTCAACTATGAGTCAAAGCCCAACACATGGCCCAATTTTCCAAATTGGGCCTAGACCTTTTCGTGGTCTTATTCTAAGGCCCAACCATTTATTCCAGTCCAACATTTGACATTCTAATGGCCCAATATCATATAATCATTAATACCCAAACTATGGCCCATCTATTGCCCAATTTTCCAAATTAAGCCCAAAC